TTGAGTCTGAACTCGTGGGCTGGGTGTTTTTGGGTTTTGCAGGTTTCGGTCCGGAGGCTATTTGACGAAGCCCGCTCACAGGAGGAAAAACAAGCATGCAGCATTGCAATTGAAAGCTTAGGATTCGATCTCAAGCTGCAACGCCCTTCCTCCCACATGTGCTTTTCGATACCGCTTGGGCAGATCTCATCCTTGCCCCGCTGTGGGGCTTCTTCTTACACCTTCACTGCCTTTCTGTCTGGTTCTTTCTCGCATCGATTTCGAAACCCAAGTCGGCTGAAACCTTGGAAGCAGGCCACGCCCAACCCCACAACTTTGAAACCAGAGTTTGCACCTTGGCCGGAGCATGTACCTCGAGATGCAATTTCCTGTTCAGCCTTATGTTCCTTTCGCAGCTACAGTGTCATGGAAGTGTCATCGGGGTGCAAGCTGGGCAAGAGTATACACTGCCCGGTGCCACCCAAGCAGAGTCACAAAGCTTGTTCGGCGGGGGTCCATCCGGGTTGAGAGTAGGGTTAGATGCAAAACATCAAAAAACGGAAACCGTTACGTACATGGAGCTCCGATGCCCAGCGAGAGGCAAAGTGTTGGTCGTGTCAAGCAGGCCACGAGCTCTTGGCTGCCTCAGGGTTCGAATTGAGATTGGGGTTTTGGGGTCCAGGAACAAGTTGGCAGTGGGTCTGCAGAAAGCTGGTTGGGTGCAAAGACCAGCAAACCATGTTGTTTCCGAGCAGTCAAGTCTTCGCTGGCAAAACGCAGACATCTTCCTTCCACCATCATTCTGATGTTAGCAGTTGACGGTTCATCGGGGAAGGCGTAAATGTTGTGGTTCTCCTGATATTCTAGGCGATTTTAGTCGGTCACCCGGTAATTCCCGCTCCTCAAGTTCCCTGTTCATGCTGTGGGTGCCGAATGTGTTCGACTGAACAGGTAGGTGCTGCGAAGCAATCTCATTAGCTCCGTTTTGCCTGGTGGGTGTTGTGCAATTTCTTCCCTTTGATGGCGTGGTTTCTGCGACGCCAAACGACGTGACCATTAGGGAAAGGTTTCTCAAAGCCCAGTATCGCAGCTTGTGCCGAGTCTGCCGAAAAGTAATACTGGCACGCTTCCGTAGTTATTGCCCGTCCATGCCGTACAACGTACGGCCATTCAGCGACAGGGAGGCACCAAGCGTGAAGGGATTAGATTGATTGGATCGCTGTCTCGCCAGGCGCACCCGCTACTGTAAGGCATGACCAACAGTTCCGTTTGGTTTTGCGAGTTCCCCGGCTTGGCCTGCAAACAAGCCGTATCACTTGTTCGGTGTGTTCCTCAAAATGATGCGCAGTTTCAAGACTAAGGAAACTTGGGCTCTGTAGGTAAGGGTTTGCAACGTGTTCCGCCAGATGCAGAACCTCCAAACGCGAAACCACTCCTGCCAGGCGAGCAGACTCTGCAGAGCCGTTGCCGACAAATCGGAGGTTTCTGCAGGGTGGCCAGATGTCAGAAGCTCAGTTCTTGCAGAGGGAGGGGGGCAGATTCACAACAGAATCACCTAAAACCTAAGATCCTGGACCCAGCAACTCCACCACTTTCAAATCCTGCGTTTCTTGTTTGATGCTTCTCACAACATGTAGATATGTTCAGCCCTCAAGCATGGGAGCCCTTCATAACGTTCATGCTCCACAGCAGATTCCTCAACTTCTGGAAACTCAGGATTGTGGAGTCCACCACCCAGTCCGGTTTGGTCACACGGCGAATCTTTGAAAAAACTGTCCGTGAGACAGAGACCAGCGACCGGTGTTAGACTTTCGTTGGTTGATCTGCTTTTTACAAGAATTACTGTGCCTTTACCGAAAGAGAGTGGGACATGCTGGAGGCCCTGATTCTTGAGTCTTTTGCATGTTTTCTCATACTTTTGTAAGCGTTTCTGCTTATGTGTAGAGCCTTGCATCCTCTCCTAGATCCTAGCTTCGGGGCTTTTGCGAAGCAAGCAACCTGTTCAGTTCCTGCCCTGATTCACTTCAGGGCTCGGATTTACTACCCATGATCCCTGATTTTCGTTGAGGCTTCGGGCTTATTGCCTCGTAGAGTGCCAGGGTTTGGCAACAATCATGTGTGTTTGGGACCGTCTGCATCCCTGATCAGAACGGTCGAAACTTTAGTTACGGGGTCTCAGGCTCGCTGCTCAAAGTTCACGAGAGATTTTGGGGTGTCTGGGATATACATGCTTCATTTGCGTTGTGGTGGTGGCAGCTTTCGTTAAGTCACGAAATTTAGCGTAGTGCTGCTTTCATTTCTACTACGTTATTACGTTAGCAATGCAGGGGGAATGAAATATTCCACGGTAATTCCTTGATATCTCAACAAAAGAGGCTTGGGAGCCAGAGCCACTGTGCTCCAGCTAATATGTTCCATATATTTTGGAGGCTTGGGGGTCTTCAGCCTTCAGGCGCTGAACGCTACTTGATGCTCTGTTTGTTGGTGCTTGCTGATCGGCAGCGATTGCGGCCGAAGCAACTTGTAGAGGGTGTTCACTTGCGCTCTTGCTCTTTGCATCCGACGCGCCGACGCCTCAGCTGTTCGGGAGCCTTGAGCAGGCCAAGCTAATGCTTGGAAGTGCGCGACAGTGCAGTTTTTATGTGTGCGGGTCTGCTGCCGAGCGATACAGGCCCTTTTTTAGTCTTTCACACTTTCTGAACAGGAGGATCCATGAAATTTCGGGCTGCTTGTTGCAGTATTTTGCAGGACTTTGGGGAGTAAGCACCCTAGCACCTAGCACACCCCGTCGCGGCTGTAGCAGAACCAGACACTCGAAATGCATATGCATCTCTGCACAGATTCTTCTGACCACGGGGGCTGGGTTTCAGGGTCTGGTGAGTCTGCTGGTTGAAGGATTTGGGGTTTAGGCGGTGTAGGAGTTGCAGGTTCCGGATTTAAGGGTTTGGGGGAGGGTTTACAGCCGTTTCGAGGGCTTCAGAGATGCACAAGCCCCCGCTCCTGCCTGCTTTACTATACAAACGCCGCTGGAGCTGAATCTTTTAACCGCAGAGCGCACCCTAATTCCAGGTCATGACAGCCTTCCTGGCAGACCCCGACTCAGCCCAGCAAGGTTCAGGCGAAGCTTCAGTCAACTTTCCTGCGAGGAAGATTGGATTTTAGCCCGGGGGTTATCTCAATTCACGCTCACGTAAAAGATTCCCAACATGCACAGCAAGATAAGCAGGCAGAGATAGTCTGGTTTGCGATTTAGGTATCCGAGCTGGTGGAGTGGAAGCCATACGGCCAAGGCTTGGGGAGGCATCCTAAAGGACTTGTGAGTAATTGCGTGGGCAGGTCTTTGGCCTGGAACGGGCTTTGCTGGAAGAGGTCGACGCAGGCCAGTCTCTTTATGATAGCTGCTACTTGGTATTGGAGCTTGATACGTCATTAGGCGACTTCGTGTACGATGTGTACAAGAAGGCAGAGTAGAAGAGAAACTGCACTAGATAAGTTTGACTTGTCTGAGGTCGTAGACTGGCCCTTCAACCGACCCCTTCGTCCACGCCATGCGGATGGTGATCGAGCACCGTCTGAGGCTGGATGCCACATTTCTTTATTTTGTTATCTGCCGCTAGTGTGATCGGCAGGGTACTCGAATGGTACGCCGACGAGATTGAATTGGACGTGCGAGGGCCTTGAGGGCCTTACCATTGGACTGTTGGTGTGTCATGCCTGTTCGGTGAGGCGTCGGTTGACAAAACACGGAGCCGGAGATCTGCTACTTCAGTGGATGCGCAAGCCCGCATTGAAGCGTCCGATGCTTAGAAACTTCACTTGAAAGGGCATGCGATGCGGAAGCTTGAACCATCAGGACGGCGGCTGGGGTGAGTGGAAGTCGAAGCCGCGTCTCCCGTGCAAAAAAAACGGCCGAGCATAGACAAAGAAATACACATATTTGCACAAAAACACTCTTCTGGTTTTATACGTGTATATGCGTATATAGATGTAAAAAATAAGAGAGGGGGATAGAGAGAGAGAGAGAGAGAGAACGTGTGTCGCGGGTGTAGTGGTGATTTCTGAATTGTTCTCGTATTTCGAATACTTTAAGATTTATGGGTATCTTTCATATGTTAAATAAGAATTTTTTCTGATATTTATAATTATAGACACATATATATATATATATCTATATTTGTGGAATTACTTCCATATAGATTTACTTCATATGTGAATTTCGTTAGAATACTATCTTTGTGAGTAATTTGGGATTCGAATAGATTTCATATTGATCGATGATCGTTTCACGTATTTATTTTTGATTTTAGTCTTCTTTTCATTCTTTTTGATATTATACTTGATATCGTATTTCTCATAATTATTTTGGGGTGGGTTGTGGAGATTTGATATTAAGAAATTAAGATAATTTTTGCCGTTATATTCTTATCTGCTTATTCGAATATATCTCTATGAAAATATTAGAAAAAGGTCTGATATTTCGTTTTTAACGATTTCTATAAAATTTCTCTCAAGTCTTATTTTTCGATTCATAATTTTTTTGTCAAGTTTATCTGTACTCGTATCGATAGAGGTTTTTATAACTTGAAAAATAGAGTTAAGTTATATTTCTCTCTTAACGATTGTATTTATTAATAGTATTTAAATGAAGGTTGAAACGTTATATACTATAGTATCGAAAAAATTTGATTAAAGCAACTTAAAATATGCATTTGTTGACTTATATCTCATCTATTATTCTGCAGTTGTGATCATATTTGTTTTCTTGGAATGATGAGATTGATTTGCGAATACCAATAAAACGAGTTTCGATTACTTTGCAAATTACCCAGAGCTTCCAAAGATGCTTAAATAATTTTTAGATATCTTTAATCATCTTGATTAAACACTATAGTGTCTATTTAAGCATGGTATGTAAATGGCAAAAATAATGTTTAATTAAGAAATATTATTTTCTGTATATGCATCTCAATTATATATATGCATGCGGACGATCGACTGCACGTGTTTTTTCCTCCCAAGGATCACGTGCCGATCTCGATTCGAGGAACTTTATTAGCTGCCAGGAATCGTCTGAGAACTTGACAAGAAACAGCATTCATCGAAAACTTGCCACCACGCCGTCTGCCCAGCAATGCTAGGGTATGCCCATAGCTCTCATCCCTGTAGGTCCAGGTCTTGCTAGGGTTCACCTCGCCCCTGGCCAATTCGAACAGCTGATGGGCTTTAGGTTTAACCCTGAAGAGCTTGTCCACCTCGAAGTAAGTCTCGAGGCTGCCCCAGAGTAAAAGAAACTTCTGAGAAGAAATTCTGAAGACTTCCTTGTCCCAAGCTGCAGTGCTGAGACAGGCATATATGGACTGCAAAGCTTCTGTGCCATGCAACATCGTCTGTTCAGCAGGCTTTGCTGGCGACAAATACTTTGTAGCCAATTCCATGGCAGCACCGACGAGTGCTCGAGCTTCCCCTGCTTTGGCTCTCAACTTGGGGGATTTGATCTTGCCTCGATCCTCTTCACGAAGCATGGTGGGAAGGAGCTTCGGCAATCGATCTTGGACCCCAGCTCTGTCGTAGTATGCCTTGATGTCTTGGTACAGCTTGGCACATCGGATGAGTTTGCTCAGGCCTCGGATCTTTTCACTCTGTAAGTAAAACAGCAAAGACCCAAGCCAGTCGGATGTTACTCCGAGGTCGAAGCGTGTAAAAAGTCCATCTTGCAGCAAGCCGTATTGAATCCTGGGCAAGAAAATAATCTCGACACCAATTTATTCTGTCCATGCTGGAAATGAGAGGGTACCTGAGGCAAAGGCAACTGCCAGGAATAAGCGATCGACTTCAACTGTCTAGCATGCCTCACACGTCGAAATTAAAAGACAATTCTTTCCTGGTGGCGATATTTCGAGCCGGTTAATTGACTCCTTAGTCGACTGTATCATGCTAGGGTATGCCAAAAGATATAAAACTTTGAATCTATCAATCCCAGATGCTTGGCGAAAGTCTGAGTATCAATTGTTTTCAAATCAGCTCGGGGGCACATACACCGCCAACAGATAAACCCCTTCGAACTCCAAGAAGGGAAGCTCAAAACGTCCTTGTAACAGCTCCAATCAGCTCGAAATTCAGCCAGAGCAGCTCTCAGTGGAAGCTTTTTGCCTGCCAAACGTTGTCGATAACTATCGGTTCGATTGAAGGGCATGCCATCGTGTCGGCAGCTTGGCATGCTCCCCGTCGCCAGCTGCTTAAAGGACCACTGGATGATTTCGAATACATCCTCAAAAGTTTGCGATTTGGATACAAATTCTTTTGGAAAGGCCGCAACAGGCAGGCGAAGATTCTGCTGGCCAAAGATGTTCAAACAAATCGTCTCCAAAGTCATGGATCGGTCGCTGTTGAAAGGCACACCATCGCACCACATCCCCATGAGGAGAGTGGATTCAGAATCCAAGCCCAACTCATCCTCCAAAAAATGCAAGTGGTTCTCCAGGTCAGGCCTGCCAGGCAAGATCTCGGCTTGCTGCTGAAGCAAGGCCTCTGGCGTGTTCACTTTGAGCAGTGAGTGCAAGGATTCGTGAGGCAGCAAAATTGCCAAGGAATACTCTTCAGACGTATTCTTCGCCTGATTCCAGCCACGAACCTTTGCATGATATAACGAAGGCCATTTCGTGTTTCTGAAACATTTGCGCAAAAGATCCCGATGGGTGTTGCGAGTCTCTGGGCGGACCTGTAAATCTTCCACATGCAGTGCCCCGGCTTGCTGTGCTGACCGCAGTACTCGAGCGCTTCGCTCAGAACTGAGCTCATTGTTTAAAAATATGTCGACCATCTCGGACCTGAATCGTTTTGCAGGAGCAACGGCCTGGACATCTTCTGTTGTCAAAGATCTTTTGTTGAACATTGCCGGCAAGTCTCGAAGCGAAGCGAACCCTACAGAACAATGTCTGGACAATCAAAAATTAATCCAAAGTACATGCGGTTTTCACATATATACAGTATATATATATATATATATATATATATATATATTTATAAACATACACTGTCTTAGTATATGAATTTACTTAGATCGAAGTAGCTATGCGCACGTGCCTGTGCGACATGGGGCCGAGCCTGCAGAATGTAAGAAGCAACAGAAAGTCTGCAAGCACTCACGGGTCTCATAGCTGCAAACATGCGAGAATAAGCATTGCATGCACGCATTTTCTACCACTGCGAGGTCAGTGCAGCCTCTCCTGCCAAGGAGCTCCGTCTCAAGGCGAACTTGGAACAACACCTGTACTCCTACCGGATAATATCATCGAGGGTGATGAATCTCAAGCCTAGGGCCGATCACTCCATCAGGCCATTGACTTTCTTGAGCAAGGCCTTGCTGCCTTTGTCGTGGTTGGCAGCCTGGTAGACGACAGTGTGAAAGGTGGCCACAAGCTCGGTGCAATCGGAAGTAACATCCGCCGGCACACTCTCGGCCTCGTGCTGGCGAAGAACACCCAAGAAGTCCTCGAGAGCTGCGATCGCCTGATCGACGTCGTCCTTGCGATTATCCCATGTTTTGTCCCCGCTGTACTTCGTGGAAATCTTGGTCTTCAAAGACTTCAGCTCCTCGTTGTTTTGGGTCAGCTTTCTCTTCTCGGCCACGATCTTCTTCAAAAGATCTTTTGCCAGGGTATGGCTCTGGCTCGGCTGCAAAGCCGGATCCTTGGAACTGGAGCTTGCCGCACTCTTGCCCAACATGATGTCGAGGGACCTCTTGTCCTTCAACTGCAAGTTCTTCATGCCGGAACAATGGCTTCCCGTCTTAGTGGCCTGGCGGGCCACCTGGCCTTTCGAGTGCACGTAGAAGTACTTGCTGAGCACCTCGAACTTGGGGTGAATTTTCGTCGATCTCTCATAGCCGTACCACTTTTCGGCTTCGGACATCAGCTCTTCCAGCAGATCCTTCTTCATGTCTTCCTCCAAGCCGCTTTCATCGATGCCCTCCAGCTTGAAAATTGCCGTCCTGCATGCAGTCTGCATGCATGCTCAATATAATCATCCGTTCCATAGTCGAAGCCTAGAGAATATAATCATAGAATAGACAATCAAACAAGAGCAAAAATCTGACAAAACTGCCACCGAAAATCCGAGTGTACCAGTTCTTGACGGTATCTTCGTGCTCACTGTTGGTATTCACGGTCGTCTTGACCAAATCGTGTACCCAATTACACTGACGGACGCCGAACTGTGAGACCTTGCTCAATATCTCTCTCTTGGTGGCAATGTCCCCCGCCTCGTACTCCTGCCAAGGAGCACCAGTGGAACGAAAACAAGAATCAAAACAACTGGCACGGAAGTGCCGGAAGTGCAAGATGCAGGCGGTCCTCGAGTACTTTTTGGGCGTTTTGTTTCTCTTCGTCCGTAGTTTTTTTAGCTTTGAGCTGATAGCGAAGCCCGGTCAAAGCAGCTGAAATTGTGCCCCGAGCATACCCCAAGCCGCTCGGTGCCGTTGAATCATCGTCTTCCTCGGCCGCATCACCGAGCTCCACCTTGGCAGCCTTGGCTTTCCTCTTGGGGGTCACCTGCTTTTCGTGCTTAACCTTAGCCTTGGCGGCCTTGCTCTTTGCAGCCATGGCCTTGGCCATCTTGCTGTTCTGCGGACCTTTGCCGCCCTTGCTCTGGGCCGGCGCCATCAATCCGGGGAGGCTACAGGAATGCTACCCGATCATATATCGTGAGCTGAGCTCGATCTAAACATTGATTCAGCAGAAAATTCATGCGAAGAGTCGAGAACGGTGGCACACGAGTGCCATGACATGTTCACTGTTGCACACAGCATGCATAAGTTATTTCATTTTGCAAGACACCATCGCCTTCGCCGGCAGGTCAGAGCTCGTCCAAATCATAATCGTTTTGCCACCAATGCATGTCAGCACCTAATCTCCTAGCCAAGGAGATGGCACTTCCAGAGACCGAGCGACACTTCAGGAAGTATCTATCATTCCAATAGCCAACATAACGAGTATACCATTCATACAAGAACTTTTGGAAGCACTGCTCGGAGCAATCAAATGTATCGTACAGAAACCACAGAGCGAATGCACTCAACCGGGTCGTGAAAAGCCTTCTCATCAGCTGCAAAGCGAACAACGGCAAATGAAGCACAGGTCGCTGCCTCATGCCTCCCATGTGCCAGCTCAGTTGCTGTTTCATCCACAATCGCGCCTTTGCATGGCAGGGCTGGCCTGCAGAAAGTCAAAACTCTGCTGCCGAACTTGAATCCAAGAACCTGGCTGGGTACAGCTGCCGATGCCAATGCGGTGGAGAATGGTCGCTCTGCGGATCCGCACCTGGGTCTAGGAAGACCCCGAAAATTTTTAACAAGCTTTTTTTTAACAAATTTTTAACTGTTAAAAAAGATGGCTTATGAAAGGATTCCTTTCATAAGCCATTTTTTTAACAGTTAAAAATTTGTTTAAAAAAAAAGCTTGTTAAAAATTTTCCGTCGCTTACCAGAATCTATCTTCACCCATCACTCCCCACAACAGACCTCAGAGAGAATTGGACACGAATCACAAATGGAACTGGCCTGGGTTCTGATCCTCCATGCTGCGAAGACCTGGCAATCGCTAGACGACATGCATATGTACACGTGAACAAACTCCTACCCAGGAGCAGGACCACTCCTACCAAGGAGCAACAAACTGCAAACGTGATGCACACCAGCTGCCGACTCCTACCAACAAGCTGCAACCTACGAGCACTGCCGACCCAAACACAGATGCACACTAGCTGGCGACTCCTGCCAAGGAGTCCTTGTTTTTATCGTCTCGTTGCGGGAAGATCAATCCGGCGGAAGACACCTATGCTACAGCAGACACTGCCTCAACGCAGTTCGTCAGAAACCTCAGGGTCTTCCTGGGTTTCATCTGCAGCCGCCTGCTCTGCCTGTGTTTCCGCTTGGTTATTCTTCAGGCGCTTGTAGGCTTCATCAAGACCAATCACGTGTTCAATGGTCTCGGCGCCTTCCACCATGGATCGGAAGCTCTGCCAGGTATGCCCCGAGCCGGGCTCCTCCTGAGCCTCGTCAAGACCCGCATCCACTGCAGCTGGCTCCTCAGCTGCACCACCGCCCTCCTGACGGGCTCCTTGGCCTGCAATCTGCTTCGCCTCGGCCTGCAA